TCACTGGCTAGCAGAGACAAAGAGATGCACAGTCCAATATTGAACAAGGTGGCTTGCCAGAAATGTGTCATGAAATGATCTTTTCAGTGCTATGCCTCAACTCTGAGTAAATCTATGCATTAATGGGTACCCTATAAAGTTTTGCATAAAGTCATTAAATGGATGCATGGGATACTAGGTAGAAGAGATCTGGTGACAGCACTGGCAACTTGGAGGGAAATTCAGTTGAGGGGGAGAGGGTACAGAGGCAAGCCATGGCACCTCCTAAGCAGTCTTGACCTCTTGTGGTAATGGTGCCAAGACCTCATTCAGAGGATTCTCTTAGCCAAACTGCAAGAAGTGGCTATACATACATTTTCATTCACATCTGGTGGGGAGCTTTTAAGACCACTGAGGTCCTAGCTCACAGAAGCAAAAGGTGAGTGTTTTTTTCATCCCTGGGTCACCTGTGTGGAGCCAAAGCTTTAATCCCATCCCATCTTTGCTTTTAGGTTTGCTTCAAGACAGAGTTTTAGATCAGTATGCAAAACCTCCGCTTTAGTTTTCCTGCATTATAATATTCTTTCCCTCCCACTCTAACCTTCTAATCAATCTTCAATTTCCTATAGGCAGCCAACAAACCATTGGTCGCAATCAAGGAGAAACAGGGCTCACTGCCCTGTTTCACCATACTCTTGGATATCTCAATTTTTCAATGCATAAAGGCCATCGTGATCTACTCAATTACCTTTACTTTGCAATGTCCCTTTCTTAGAGCCCAATTCAGGGTTCACTGTAGAAAACAGAACTGTTCCACTATTTCCAGTTAACGTTAGATTATGTTCCTAGAACACTATCCCAAAACCACAATACACACACAAGTTATGTCAAAATTAGGCACTCAAATTTTTTTTGGAAGTTCCTTAGGTATGCGAATTCCCCCTATACATATATAAAGCTTTGAAAACTCCAGCCCAAGGGATTTGTGGACTCCACGTTTACCCTAGAGTTCCCCTCCAGAGATTACATAAGAAAAGATTGTGTCATTCTCCCCCTGTACTCGGCCTTAGTGAGGCCGCAGCTGGAGTACTGTGTCCAGTTTTGGGCTCCACAATTCAAAAAGGATGTGGAGAAGCTTGAGAGAGTCCAGAGAAGAGCCACGCGCATGATCAGAGGTCAGGGAAGCAGACCCTACGATGACAGGCTGAGAGCCCTGGGGCTCTTTAGCCTGAAAAAGCGCAGGCTCAGGGGTGATCTGATGGCCACCTACAAGTTTATCAGGGGTGACCACCAGCATCTGGGGGAACGTTTGTTCACCAGAGCGCCCCAAGGGATGACGAGGTCGAATGGTCACAAACTACTTCAAGACCGTTTCAGGCTGGACATAAGGAAGAACTTCTTTACTGTCCGAGCCCCCAAGGTCTGGAACAGCCTGCCGCTGGAGGTGGTTCAAGTGCCTTCATTGAACACCTTCAAGATGAAACTGGATGCTTATCTTGCTGGGATCCTATGACCCCAGCTGACTTCCTGCCCTTTGGGCGGGGGGCTGGACTCGATGATCTTCCGAGGTCCCTTCCAGCCCTGATGTCTATGAAATCTATGAAATCTGCTCTTTACAAATTAGAATTTAATAGTCTTATTAGCTGTTAAAAACACAGATCATTCAAGGGCAAAAGTCTCCACATGCCAACTACAAAGAAAAACATTTAAATGTAATTTAGTTGCTGTCCACATTTTTAGTTAGAAACACAGCTATTTAGACTTTGTTTCACTCGTTCACTCTGCCACCTCTCCCACCACCTAAAGGGCACCCCCCCATAGGTCAAAATCCACATGTATTGCATATTCTTTTGTGGCACAATGAATTAGAACTGTACAAATCAAAAATAGCTTCCATTAGATCAACAATGAAGATCAGATCCTTCTATAGCAGCACGTCTACAAAATGACAATAAAAAGGAACTTGAGGGTTAAGGAGGTAAAAGAGAGAAAGGACATTTCTGAGATGCAACTCTCCCACCAGCTCTACCCCACAATTTAAGAATGATGGCAGATGATTTCAGAATTTGAAAGATTTCTTCTAGTTCCACACATGGCGTTTGCAGTGCTCAACAGCCTAGAAAGAAGAGAGAAAGAGCAGAAGTGAGAGAGGCTCTACTTATACAGTATTAATAGAACCTGGTGTGAGCAGCCTACAGCCCTCAAGAACAATTAGGATCTTGGGGCAAAGTTTGAATTCATTTACAAGGGGTTTTCCACAAGGAATGATTGGTGCCAAGTTCCTTTATATTAGAGACTTAAATTCAAACTGCTTATCCTTCAATCCCCACTTTAGTAGGGATTAAAGACTGCACCTGCCAAAGGAAACAATTTTTTTTTTTTTTTTAAACATGGAAAGTGTCCAGCCTATTTTGGGAGCCAACTGGAAGCCATCTAATAAAAGGAGCCACAAGGAGTCCCTCCCCCACCTGGATAACAGACAACTTATTACAAGACTTATTATGTACCCTAACAGGGGTTTTCAGCCTTTTTGGATCAGTGTACCCCTGGCCACCAGACATGGAGAATGGGGGAAGGGGGGAACTTCCCCCACACCCCGACTGGGCAGGTGGTGCCTGCGTAGCAGCGCTCCATCCCTGCCCATGCATACCCCCTAGGGCCTTCTCAAGTACCCCCAGGGATACATGTACCCCTGCCTCAGAGATCAGGGAGCTGGGTACATAATGTGCTGTAATAAGAGCTTGCAATTAAATCAAAGTTAGAGGGGTCCTTTACTGTTAACCCACTTCATTACATAACCAAGTTTAATTTAAAAAAAAAAAAAGCCTGCATTACAGGGTCATGTAAGAATAATAAGAACATGTTTGTACAGTTGTAACAAGCCATTCTCTTCGAGGTTCTACCAGTTAGTTTTGTAACACCGCCTCAGAATCTCTTGCTACTTACGTTGCACTGAGTTGCAGTCTCCATGTTTTTACACCAGTAGCCTGGGCCCCAGACACATGCATCTGCCCCCAAGAGGTGCTGTTTTGATGATCCACAGACACCCAGTTTCTGTGTAGTGAGAAAGGGGAAAGAATGAAGGTTGCAATTGTGCCTTCCCATTTATAACAATGGATCGTGCCCCCTTTCCCCGTTTCAAGTCCTTCTATGAACAGCCATGAGTTTCTTTGATAGGTGTTGGAGCATGAAGCCAAACAGTGCTGGGAGCTTCCACACTTATAATAGTCAATCACAGTCTGATATAAAACAGGAGTGAAGTGACTTGTGACACTGAGCCTGTGGCATTCATTCAATAACTTCAATTTCTATAACAAGTATAAAGATCACACTAAAAGCAGGAAACATTTCACTAAATGCTTGTATTTAAAATCCAGAAGATGATAGATCTGACTGCCTAACTCATACAAAGGGTAAGTTCTCTAAACTGCTCTTCCCTATACAACCAGATGAACAAGCAGCCAGAGTCTTGCAAGGACCCCAAGCATTCAGCTGCCAGTGTTGTTCATTTTATTACAATAGGTATTACAGTAAAAGCTGTTCTCTGGCATCCCCTGGGAATGGGGAATGCCGGATAACAAAATATGCCAATTAACTGAGCAGCCCAAACAGTCATCCTTGCCCGTTTGGGCCACTGCTTCTCCCGCTGTGTCTGAGGCATTGCTGCCCTGCCACGGGCCCTGTGGATCAGGGAGATGGGCCCCATGCAGCCTGTTATGCCCCAAGGCCACAGGGGCTCGGTAAAACCAGAAGTGCCACGGTGGGCACTTCCGGTTTCACTTTACCTTACAAGCTGGCATGCTGGTTGGTAGAGCATGCTGGCTTGCAAGGTGCCGTTTAATGGAACTTTTACTGCATAAAGAGTCCGGACAGGTAGCATCTCCGCTTCCAAAAGCCTACGTTACAACTTATTTTATTAGCTACAGTACTCACAGTACACACAAAAGTGGGGTCCATTATCTCTGCCAGGAGCTGCACAACCATTGGCTCATACTGCTCCACAAACTGAACACACTGTAACAAAATACAAAGTTGAAGTGGTTCCTCTGCCAGACATGATATCCAGATTAGAGCAGGAAAATCTGCAACTGATCCTGCTTTATTCACACTAATATTTCTAGTTTGAGGCTACGCATGGAGCAAGAGAAAAAAGAAAAGAACCAAGAAAATGGCAGCTCAAACTCGCAAAACTATTTTCCTTTCAGTGATGCATTCACTGTACAAGAAATCCTACCCCTGCTTCCAGGTTGTATTAATTTAGATTATTAGTTCTACCTGAACTAAGCTCTTGTAGTACAGAGTGTAATGATCTAGATGGGACCAAAATTTAAATCTCCCCAAAACAGGCCAAAGGTTTAGCATAATGAAAGCATGAAGTAACAGGCAGAAGCAGAGAGGCATAGACAAAGCAAAATAGCACTGAGAGAACTCTGTTCAGTCTTTAATTGGAAGCGAGTAGGCCAATCAGAACTAGAAACCAAAATCCATCCTCGAAATAGTTGCCTGTCCTGAGGTCACAGTTGGCAGGCCTAACCGGACCCTATCGTGCATCCACAGGTGCATCTCAATTAGGGCCAAGGAAGTGATCCTCCCCGTTTACGTGACACTGGTCAGGCCGCAGCTGGAGTACTGTGTCCAGTTCTGGGCACCCCACTTCACGAGGGATGTGGACAACATTGAGAGGGTCCAGAGGAGGGCCACCCGCATGATCCAGGGACAGCAGGGCAGAACCTACAATGAGAGGCTACGGGACCTGAACTTGTTCAGCCTTCACAAGAGAAAGCTGAGTGGGGGGACCTTGTGACAGTCTATAAACTCACTAGGGGGACCACAAGGGTTTGGGGGAGACCTCATTTCCCCCAGCGCCCCCTGGGATAACAAGGAATAACGGCCACAAGTTGGAGAGTAGGTTCAGATTAGACATCCATAGGAACTACTTCACAGTTAGGGCAGCTAGGATCTGGAATCAACTTCCAAGGGAAGTGGTGCTGGCTCCTACCCTGGGGGTCTTTAAGAGGTTCGATGCCTACATGGCTGGGGTCACTTGAGTCCAGTTTCTCTCCTGCCCAGGCAGGGGGTTGGACTTGAAGATCTACAAGGTCCCTTCCAATCCTACTTCTATGATTCTTTACCTAACTCCACTGTACCAACACCCTGCCACCCACTCTAGGAGTAAGACAACCATCAGTCTCAATGACTTAAAATCTATGATCTCCATTAAGAAAACCAACAACGTTGCCATATTTTGACTGTACACTGGCCACAAGGAATACATTAAGACTACTGTGCAGTGTGCGGGCTATCACTGTGACCAGCCTGCACTTAGAAACTGCTACCACTGTACTGGATCTACTACCTCATAGGCTCAGTACAGTGTATCCTTAAGCAATTCAATCAAGATTTACTCAGTCTTGTAACTGTGGACTACCACATGTCATTTGCTAATCCAGTTACCAAGGTCTGTAGAAAAAGTAAAGTTTTAGTCTGCAGCCAACAGGCAATAACCCCATATCCCTTTCACTTCAGGTTTCAAGGAAGCTTAAATTCCTTCCTTCCAATTAAGCAGCTGCATAACAATTGAAAATTCCTTCATGTAAGTCAATGTATAGCACCACTTTCAAGGACAAATTAACAGCAGTGGATTAGCCAGCTTTTGCCTTTGTGCATTGCTCTTTACTTCTGATTTCAAGGGAGGTTGCCACGTATTATGGGGTATGTATTATTTGATCAGCCAGAGACTTGGTTCTCACTTTAAGTATAAGTTCACACTTTTTTTTAAGCCACCACAAAAAAAGCAGGATCACCAGTTCAAGAGCCATTTTACAATTCCCCAAATAAAATACACGATAGAGATGGTTGTCTGATGCTATCACCACCACAGATGCCACCACTTTAAAAAAGTGTACCATAATGCTCTACCTTGGTATACAAACTGCCACACCCCCCAGGAAGGACTTACCTGGTCTCTGACAGATTCTGGCAAGATATGACAGACTTTTTCCAATACAGCCTCAATTTCAGCTGTTGTAGCATTTTTCTCCAACTCTCTGTCTGCATAAGCCACAATCATCTTGCAGACATCACAGAAGTTACCAACCTGCAACTCCTCTGGAACAGGTTTCACTGATCAGAAAGAGACAATTAGATAGAAAACCTTTAATATAAACTGTTAGAAAGAGATATTTTGGCTCTAGGTAAAGACTATAGTTACGTCTTTACAGGGGAATCTAAAATCGGAGATGAACCAGAGTGCTTTGTACATAGTACTGGTTACTCGGTGCTTACCTGCCTGAGAAGGCCTATCACTTGTACAGCACTTCAACAGAATGCACACAGTTTCAGGGCTAGTTGCTTCCAACAACATATCAATGACAGCCTTGCCATAGACTTCCACAAAGTCCCTACACTGTTCTTTGATGCCCTCAGGGAACACAGAGCAAAGCTTCTCCAGTTCATGTACTATTTCTTCCTGCAATACAAAATGGGAAGTGACATTCCATTACCATTCATTTGTGTTTAAGGACCCTCCAAGGGAAGAGAGATCGTTCATTTGCCTGAGAGAACGAACCATCAGCTACTAAAAGGGCTTTCAGCCTTTTAAAGGAGTGTACCCCTTCTGGGTACAGTTATGGCAGAGCAGTGGGGGGCCTTGCACATGGCTGTGGCACAGGGCGGTGCATGGTGGTGGCAGATGCCACGTACAAGCTCCCTACTCCTCATGTCTGGCCAGCTGGGTAGCACCTGTGTGATCCACAGAGGGGAGCTGCTTTCCTTGCCCTGCTCCCCACCGCCCCTGCTCCTGGGAGGTGGTGGGTGGCAGTACTCTGCCCCTGCCCACCTGTGCATACCCCTTAGTCCCTTTCCAAGTACCCAGGGGGTATGTGTACCACAGGTTGACAACCCCTGAGCTACTATATGCTAACTTTCACTTGATGCACAAGAGCAATACCTGCTCCAAGAAAGGAGCTGTGCTATTTCAGAGCACTTGACTGGTTACGCACCTCTGTCCTGTTGCTCTCCAGCAGGCTAGTAACCTCTTTCACCACAGTCTCACATATATCACACACAGGGGAGGCACTCTCCTGCACCAGGTTTTTCTGCACATTAGGCCTCTATGGCAAATTTATAAAGACAGTTATCAGCAGAGGTCCTGGTTCTTTGTGAAGAAATCCCCATTTTTCAGTTAAAAAAAAAAGTAACTGAAAATCCACATTTTCCACGATTCAAATAACATCACTATCTATATATTAGTGGCGTTTCATTTTAATCATGGGAAAAAAAAGTGAATTTTGGATTATTTTTTTAAAACCAAAATTGGCGATTGTTTCAACTCCCTCACCCCAGTTATCTGCATGCAACCAAGCCTCACATTAGTACAATCTAGAAAAGATTCATCATCTATACATTGCCACATTTGTTCATGTGCAGCATGAAGTAGCTTGACAAACAAGCCATCATTTCATTGCTACGGTGACCAGCACTGTTGTAATGCTGAAGGAGGGAGCAACATATGATGCAGGACCTATGGATAGAAGTCGGTTGGTTTGTTAGTAAAGACTTCTATAAAAAAAAAAAAAAAAAGTTATAAAAATGCCTTTGAAAAGGCCATCAGATGGCCATTCTAACACTGGAATATGGGAAAGTGACTGTATCCCCTGCCTTTTCAGACCTCTCCAGCTAAATGGTTGCTTAGTTACTACAATATCATTAGCTGCATTAATTTTTTGCAAATCTAAAAGAACTACAAAGGATCTTCAGGACAGAATTTATTTGAACTACAATTTCCATTTTTCCTCTGCCACAGGAAAGGCCGTTACACAGATATTCCATTTACAGTCCTTATTTTTAGTTTTAACTGTCTCTAAAAGCTACATACATCTTTCCTTTGAGTTACTCATTTCTCAGCCCAGAAGTAGAAAAAGCTTATCAGACAGCTTCAAGATATGAATGGAGAGGATTGTGTTATATGCAAGTGCTGTTCCCTTTAAGATAAATTTACCATCTATTCTAAGGATTTCAGGTCTCAATGAAAATAAGTGCCTCTGATAATGGTTGAGGAAGTCTTGTTCGAAAGTAAGATAGGGGACCTTAAAGGGATTCATAGATTGTAAGGCTGGAAGGGACCTTGGGAGATCACTGGGTCCAGCCCCCTGTACCAAGCAGGTAAGAGAACTGGGGGGGGAGGGGGGGATGTCAGGTGACCCCAGCAAGGTGACCATCTAGTCTCCTGTTGATGATTTCCAGGGTAGGTGATTGCAACACTTCTGGAAGGAGCTTATTCTACAGACTGGACACCCTGACTGAAGTTTTCCCTGATGTTGAGCCTGAAATGGTCTTACAGGAGTTTGTGGCCATTCCTCCTGGTTTTCCCCAAGGGTGCTCTGGTAAACAGTTGTTTGCCAAGCCCTTGATGTACTCCTTTAGTGTAGTGGTAAGCTGCTACCAGGTCCCCTCTCAGACTTCTCTTTTTTAGGCTGAATAGTCCCAGGTCCCTCAGCCTTTCCTCATATGGCTTGCCATACAAGTCTCTGATCAAAAAGGTGGCTCTTCTCTGGACTCTCAAACTTTTCCACATCCTTGTTAAAAGTGCAGTGCCCATGGCCGGATGTCCAAGCCATGTTTTTATACAGTACTACAATTTACACCCGAAGATTCAAATGGTACCTTGCAGCTCTGTGTGCATGTACAGTAAAAGGGAATGGACAAGAACTATTCTGCGATTCTCCAGCTTCATAACCTAACCCTATAAAACAGTAAAGTTCAGCAACTTAAGATCTGCATAATTCTGTGCACTCAAAGTGGAAGCTTAGATGCCTGCATTAACTGCAAGGCTTTACTGCCTCATCCAGTCCCATGATGATAATGCAAGTCAGATGCTGCTCTTATGAAAACAGCCAGACTGATGAAGCCGCTCCATCTTACCTCTAGAGTTTCCATCTTGGCTTCGTGAATCACCTTAGCTGGTACCAGAGTCTGGAGGGGGAGAGACTTCAGAGAAAGACATAATCCAACCATTGCACAGATCTCTTTTGGTTGCTGGGAAGAGATGCATAGTTCAGTTAAAAACAGGACCTGGCAGGTTCTATTTATCCCTTTTCCATAGACAGGGAACAGAGAGTATAGACAAGACTTGAAAAGGCTGCTGTATAAAAACCAAGAGTGCAAGACTGGTCTTCTATTCAAGTGTTGTAGAAGCAAACTAAAGCAGTCGTTATTACTAATAGACAGGACAATCCTCTGATCAGATGCAAGATATGGTAAGAGGTTATTTAAAAATCAGAAGCTAGTACAAGTAAAAAAAGTGTTTAGGCTTTATGTATGTAATCATTGCAAAGGACTACCCCTCAAAAAGATGCATGGTTTTTCCTATGCTGCCCCTTCTGACCACAGTAGATTAACTACTTCTCCTTTAAATCTTCCAAAAAAGTTTGGATAAGGAACAAGTCATCTGGACTTCAAAGTCTATGAAATATAAATAAATGCTGGGAAGATCAAAACTGCTTTCCAATCCAGGAATCAGATACTTATACAAAAAAGTTTCCGGTCACCCAAATTTGATACATACATAAAATGATTTTTTTTTTTTTTAAATAAGAAACAGACTACTCAGAAGCCAGTCAGTCAGCTATTTCACAGGCTTTTAGTTCCGATATTATATTCTGCAGATAAGCATAAATGAGGAAGTGGCAAGTCACAAATAAAATAAAAACATTTGAACTTTGGCAAACATGGTTCTGCATGATTCTTATATGGCTCCCCTCACTATAAGTTATTCTGCTACGATTGTTTTCTAGTCCAGCAAATCACAAAAGGAAGCGAGTAGATTACAGCACCATGTCTAAATCCTGCCCCAGCACAGAGCAGAGTCTTCCAACCAAGAGGACCATTGATAGCTTAAAAATTAATTTGATTCTAACCAATTTGAGCTACTGCAAAAAGTGGAGGCAACAAACTTTTTCCATTTGTTACTTTGTGCTGACAGTTCATGTACAACTGAAACAGATTAAACTTCAAATGTCTGCTTAAGAATTTGATTTCATATCAGTAACCAAAGAGCTGAATATAGTTTAGGTTTTTGTGCTCAAAGACAAAAGACAATCATGACAAGGCAGCAAGTACAAAATATTTGTTCTTGTAGTCGTCTACTCACTGTAGGCAGTATACTCTAGCTCCCTACCATAACTGATGTGCTTATTGGAGGAGAGGACTGAATTCTTCCCCATCCAGCAATTTACACAGACTTCATGCTTCGTGTAGAATGCTCATACCTGGAATCCAGAAAAATATCTGGAGGATGATCAGGAGAGAGGGGGAATATGAAGGATGGAGGTGGCCTTAAGAACTTCAATCTATTTCATCATGTGAATAAAACTTAAATTTACTCTCTGAACCAAGAAACTCGCATCCTTCCCTTGCCCCAAAATAGATTTACTGCAGTCCGCCTTGTTCTGTGTGGGATTAGGCAAGGAACAGGCACAGCTGTCCAGAATTTAGTAGAACCCAGGTCCTATTACTAAAACACCTACTCCAATGAGTAGGTGTGCACCTTGATGGCCATAAAATACACATGGTATGGAGACAACTAAAACATTTCCCCCCTATAAGAGGTAGGCTGAGATGGAGATCTACTATATCAAGTCTAACTTGATATCTCTAAGCAGAAGGTAGGAGTCCTTTGAAATGAAAGCACTACTAAATATAAGAGCTGGTGCCAGACATGCAATAACTGTTCCATGCGGGATAGATTATGTCTACACAATGAGATCAGCATTTAGTGTAGCCCAAAATACAACTAGAGGTTTTAATAGCATCTATCCACTTGGCTAGTGAATTATCTTCAGCCCTATCACGAAACAAGACTGGTTGGTTGTCCCCAACCCGACACCGAGATTTTTATTTATTTTATTCCCCCCCCC